CAAATGTATAATTGTACTGCAGCTTCCCTTTTCAAATTTCACTAGAATAATCAGGCACAACCCATCTAAAAATATCTGAACAAGATCCCCCCCAAAAGTGGGAAAAGGAAAAAAAGCATAAGGATTTTCTCTGTTTTAATGAGACTCCCAAATCGGTTGAGTGAAGCTGACTGACTGCAGCCATTCAAGCTGCCTTTGAAAATGCATCTCATAGATACAAGCAACAGACAAGGTGCCCAATGTTGTTATATAAGCTGTGAGCTTCATTGAAACGCCTTTGTTGTGGCCTAAAAAGGGTGTCAAGTCTTCCTTCTGGTGTCACTGAGTGACCTCATTTCTAGTCTGTGGAGCAGTAGAAAACATTTGACCCAATTTCCCTGGTGGAACTGCAAACTTTTAATCTTAGGTTCTTCCCAAGACTTATCACTTCAGGGGGTTCCATCTTCCACTTCGATCCAAGTTAATGTCCCCTTGCCTCAAAGGTGGGAACAGTTCTCTTTCCACTTCATGGAAATCCACAGTTTAGGTAATTAAACATTTTAAAGATGTACTGTGAACAGCTTTCCCTGTCATTTCTCAGAGTTCTTTCTAGACTTTGTCTTTCAGTTCCAATCCTAAGACTCTTGTCAGAGGTAGAATTGACTCCAACTTTCCTTTAAAAAAGGGTTGCACATGATGCATGGAACTACTTCTAAACAGAAGCAGAAATTGGAAAAGTGAATCACTTCTGAAGAACTTGGAACGTCTGTTCACAGAAGGGCAAGAATGAATGGGTTTGAATATGGCTGTAACAGTCTTTGCACTCAGATGCGACAGAAAGGGCCAGATAACAATTGATCAAGTCCTATTTGGAAGAAGAATAGAATCTTGGGAGAAATCTCCCTAAATGGCATCTAAAGATGCCAAACTTACCTGAATGAGAAGTATATCTTCCCACTTGGTCTGACTGGACAAGGTAACAGATCAACCTGAATGGGAGCCGTGTGTTTTCCTAAATAGGGTGAGCATTTATTCCTTCAAATTAAGTAGCCTCAATTCTCCGTGGAAGCACTTAGACAGTCTTTCCTCTGAGCATCTGAAAATGGAACATCAGTAATTACAGTATACAGGAAGGAGAAAAACCACCAAAAATCATTCCCTGAGGCTTCCTGAGCTCTCTAGGTAAATAATAACCTTCCAGGTTGAGGGCCCTTAGAAGTTCAGCTGCAATCATCACTTGTCTCAAGGCCTTTTCGGTAAAAAATGGTGGTGGGTAGAGTTCATAGTCCTCATTTATTTAGAATTTATATACGTTTATATATTGTAATAATTTATTTATTTAAATTAAGAAAATTGTGATTATTTTACAGAAAAGTATGAACAGAAAGAGAAACAAAAAAGAAATAAAAGAAAATAATAAAAGAAACAAGAACGAACTGAAGAGAGGGGGGGGAAAGGCGGTGGGGGGGGAGGATTATTGTACTAAGAAAACTGCCAGTCAGTCCTAGAGTGAATGATAACCTAATAATGATAACCTAATAATGATAACCTAATCTGAAACCCTGGTTCTAAATGGATATGGATTCAAAAAGAAAGTAACTAAAGTGAATGAATCAATCACATCTTTATTATGGAGTCCAGATAATTGAAACACAAGTCTTGCTCAGTCATCTGACCATTGAAACTCCAAGATGGACTCTTGGCCCTTTTGGCAAATGCCATGATTTTAGTTCTCTGGTAACTGAGAACTACTACGGTTCCCTGCAATATTCTGCTAGTTCTTTCAATGCTCCCTTAAGGCCCATAGATATTCTTGAAAATAATGCTGCATTGTCTCAGTAGAACAAAAATGTGTCTCCCAGCAAGTGTTTTGAGGGTAGAAATTCATGTTGAGGAGAAGGTCCACCATGGAATTGATATAGAAATTAAATAGGAGAGGGGACAATCATATTTTTGCTTGACACCTTTTCTTGGAGGACCTTGGAGAGGTGGCCCTGGGGATTACTTTTACTTTGAGTGATGTCCCTTTATGATGCATACATATTTTTAAAAAGTAGATGTTGATCAATTGAGGTCTCCAACTTTTCCCACAATTTAGTTTGGAATATAGAATTAAATGCTGTTTTAAAGGAGGAGGGGGGCAAAATGGCTCAGATGCTGAGTTTCAGCTGGAAAGTTGACAGTTTGGGTTTGAGACTTCAGTGTCCTGCAATGGGGTGAGCTCCCATTGCTCGCCATAGCTCATGCCCACCTCGCAGTTTGAAAGCATGTAAATGCGAGTAGATAAATAGCTAGCACTTTGGTAGAAAGGTAAAATTACATGGCCACATGACCAAGAAATATTTTTGGACAATGCTAGCTTCCTCAGATAAGAAAGGGAGATGAGTACCGCTCCCTAGAGTTGGATGCAACTGTGCAGGAAAACCTTCACCTTTTTACCTTCTAAAGTCTATGAAAATGACATATAAGGAGATTGTGTTGCAGAAGGAACATTTTTCAATAAGATGATAAACTACTAGACACTCTTTAATGGTAGATCAGCCTTCTCTAAAGCCAGCCTGCTCCTCTGCAAATACTTTTGCTTATTCCAGCCAATCGTGGAATTTCCATTGTAGGTGTCTTTCATAGAGTTTGGCTAAAGTGGATAATTAACAGAATCAGAAAATCAAATGAAACAATCAATCAATCAATCAAAGGGCCAGAAGGCCTTCTAGTCAAGGCCCTGGAACCCTAGGTTTCCTTATATTTTGAAAATAAATTGCAATTTGTGCATTAATTATTGTGTATTTCTAAAAACTTTAAAAGAAAGAAAAAAAGTTTTGCTTCTATCACTTTAAAAAAAAGATTTATTTTTATGGTTTTTGTACTCATTCCCTTGAATGTAAAAAAAAATTAATATTTTCAAATTTCTACCTAAAAGTTAGAGGAACATAGTTTAGCAGGTTTTTTCCCCCCGAGGAATCTTGTATATATGTAGGTAGGTAGGTAGGTAGGTAGGTATAAACCCACAAAGTGAGATTTGGAACATGGAATTGCAAAATACAGATATTCACACACATAAACATTTTGAAGCTATCCCTATATCTGATTTTATTTCCCCACTAGCACACCTTGGTTAAATTTGACACAATTTAAGTGCTAACACAAATGCTCTCAGAGATCCCCTCCAACTCAAGAGTAAACAATGCTACTCCTTAACCATATGTCTAGATATGTCACAGTACTGATTCTAGGCAAGGCCTGAGGTCTGTCACATATCAGCCAGTAAGGTGAGTGGGGATGGGGACGGGGATGATGATATCTCCAGGCATATCTGGCATCAACTGGGTGTGATATCAGCTGTGAGGGGCAGAGTTTAGAAAGTTAAGCATTTGCTATTCACACATAGCCTGCAAAAAAAAAATGACCACCTTGATATAACCACAAGGGTTTTGTTTTATAAGCCAGGGAAGGGGTATGAAGTTGGTTGATTTTTGTACAAGAGTCCCCCAAAAGAAAAAACTGTTGTCTGTATTGTTAATGTTCCTTTGGGTTTCAGGAAAAAATATTATTGGATGTTATTACCTATGGATCTGTTGAGATGGCTCTGCAGTCCCAGGTGGGAAGCACAAAGCCTCTAGCACAATGGGGGCACTGGAAGTCCATTGTTGCAGTAATTGTGAAGTCCATTGTTGCAGTAATTGTGGACATTATTCTAATGATGTTGCTCAGGGTTTTCCATCAGTTTTTGTTGTTGCCTGTCTTCAAAGCCAGTGGAGCCTTCATAGCACAGGGCTTGGCAGCAGGTTCTGTCAGCATCCAGAGCTTCTAGTTCCTTTGGCTGGATGTCAAGAGGCATAAGGTTCACTGCATAGTGTCTTTCTAGTATTAGCATGGGTGATCTTGAGGTCTCTTTCTAGTCTTTAGTACAACATTCAGCAACAATACAATGGCCATCCATTCTTAAGATATGTCCCCTCCCCTCCCAAATTGGACTCTGATTATCTGACCTTGACACTGCTGTATTTTACATGTTCCAAGACCCTCAGGCTGGAGATACAGTAGCCATAGTAGCCAAGTAGAGAACCAGTGCCAAGGATGGAGCAGAGAGAGGGCATGTGAAATTTCTCCAGATCTTTATTGCCCCATTGGTGCAGAGTCGAGGACTCACATCCATCCCACATGGGATATAACTTTGAGAGTGTTCCAAAGGTTCTTTTTCATGAGGCAGCTGGACTTTCTGGTTTTTTTCTTTGAAGTCGCTTTGCTTCTCATCCAAGAAGCAAAATGTCTCCCAAGAAAAACCAGAAAGTCCAGTTGCCTTGTGAAAAATCACCTTTGGGTCAACCATGACCTAGATGGCTGAGAATCTCCATAGACACCTTTGAAAGTGAAATCTAAGGTGTTACAAGATGCAGAAGAAAGAGAAAGATTGGGTTTACCTGATTTGAGATTACATTTTGTAGGTAGTTGTTATGTTTGGATGAAGGAATGGATGTTGCTAAGAAATAGAAACCTTTTGTAATTAGAACGACATTATTTGAGATTTGAGTTGGATACATAATCGTATGAGAAAGCCAGTATTAATGTATATTTTGAAAAACATTTTCTTAGATGTGCTATTAGGAGAATTTGGAATAGATATAAACCTCCTACCAAGGTATGCCTAAACATATTTAGTGACTCACATTGCCAGAATAGTAGCAACAACAGAAACAACATCAACAACAACAAACAAAGCAAATTAAAACTGCTAAAACAATTTAAAAGTGTGCAATAAAAAGTTCACAATGTTAGGTTAGCAGATTGGGAAGGTACACATATGGGAAAAATTGCTAATTAAGAAAAGCATGGGGATTTTGAGCATGAGGATGATTGCTAATCTTTGAAGTTAAGTCTTGATGACTTTCTCCACTTTCTCTTACTAAGGAAGGAAGTGAGGGAAGGACGAAAGAGGAAAAGAGGCTGGTTGGATGACAGACATTGGAGCCTAGAGGTTATTTTCCTCATTTGCAGTCCACCCTAAAGAAGGAGTTTGCCATTCAATTGTGTGCTGTGAATCTCCCCCAGACTTTCTTGCAGGCTGCCTTCACATCTTTGTTGCGTAAACTGTAAATCAAAGGGTTGACCAGAGGGTTGATTACAGTATAGAACAGTGCATTTACCTTGTCCCAATCTGCGGTGTGATGAGAATTGGGTGCAGAGTATGTAATGAGCATGGTGCCATAGTAGAGGGAGACAGAGGCCAGGTGAGCCAAACAAGTGGAGAAAGCTTTGTGCCTCCCTGCAGCCGCACGGATGCGAATAATGGTTGCCACAATACTAATGTAGGACTTCACAATGACAGCAGTGGCTGAAAGCAAAGTTAAGACAATGACAGCAGTCAGGATGAGTTCATATGCTCTTTTGTCATCACAGGCCATCTTCATAAGTGGTGGCACATCACAAAAGAAGTGGTTGATGATATTACTACCACAGAAGTGTAGACGGAAGGTATTACCAGTGTATACAATAGCATTGGCAAACCCCACTGTATAGGCTCCCACCACCAGCTGGACACAGAGCTTCTTGGGCATGGCAATGGTATAAAGCAATGGGTTGCAGATGGCCACAAAGCAATCATAGGCCATGAAGGCCAGTAAGAAGCATTCACTCCCACCAACTACAGCAGAGAAGAAGAACTGAGCTGCACAACCTGCTAAGGAAATGTGGTTGTTCTTGGACAAACAATCATATAAGATCTGAGGAGTATAGACTGATGAGTACCAGACATCCAGGAAGGAAAGGCTACCCACAAAGAAGTACATGGGTGTGTGCAAGTGAGAGTCCAGGTAGATCAGGGCCATGAGGCCCAGATTACCAGTCAATGTTAGGATGTAGGAAGTCAAGAATATTAGAAAGAGAATTGTGCGTAGAAATGGGTCTGTTGTAAACCCAACCATCACAAAATCACCAAGGATTGTTCGATTATCTTCAAGTTCCATTTTTTCCAAGCCTAACCGATTTAGAGAGGAAAAACAAGTGAGGTTTTTGCATTTTTGTGCCCTGAATAATGAATTCATGCTATGATTTTGAAAGATGTTTTGTAAACTATTTATGATATTCTGTATGCTGTTGCTAATTTTGCCCCAAACTGATTTGGCTTCTGGTTTTTGATGTTCTGTAAACTTTTACATAGTGTAGGATTTACTTGAAAATAATGCTATCTCTTCTTTGCATTAGGTGCACTTGTCTTGACCCCATGAGTTTTGTAAATGCTTTTCTATGAGAGGTCTCAGCTTATAAAACAAACAGATAAACAAACAAATATTGTTGTGAGTCAGCAGGCAAATGAGTAATAATAATAATAAAATAATAATAATAATAACAATAACATCAACAATTTCTGGAAAACTGCAAGGGAAGGAAGAACTTGGATTGTTCACAAGAAGATACTTGACTCCCCATCATATTATTGGATAATCAAGTTCCTAGAAATATGATTACAAATAATGAACAAAGTAGCAACAATGGTGTTTTGGAAGATCTAAAAGAAATATACATTTGCCTGCAGGTAAAAACTGATGGTACCATAAAACAGTGAAAGTAATAGAAAATGAAGAAGCTAAAGTGCTTTGGGACTTTAGAATCCAAGATGACAGGTAGGCACATGCCACATAACACCCCAGACTTCACAGTTTTAAATAAGAAAGACCAAACATTTGGATAGTAGACATGGCAGCACCTGGAGACTGCAGAATAGAAGAGAAAGAATTAGAGAAGATAACAGCATACAAAGACCTGCAAATAGAAATAGGAACAACTGTGGCAAAAGAAAGCAAAGGCACCTTGGTTGCAATTCCAAGAGCTCCACTTGAATGCCACTGGCGTTGAGAAAATCAACAGCTGTTAACTGCAAAAGGCAGCTTTCCTTGGAAGAGCTTAGATCCTGCTTCTCCCAGGTCCTTGGGAAGGACTCGCTATGTGTGTGGGTGTGTGGGGGTGTGTGGGGGGAATGGCTAATCCAGTCTGAATATCTGGATGACTGTGCAAGGAACCATAATTATTATTGATAATATTATTAAATAGTAACCACTGCCAAAATTCTTCATTAGAAATTTGGCCAGAGGTTTAGATTTGAATGTACTGAGTAAAAACTACTAGAACCATCAAGTTGAAAAGGTTTGGGGAAAACATCTTATTGGACCTTTAAGATCTGAACAGTCAGACATGTGGTTCATGACATGCCTAATATAACAGTTATAGAACAGAGGAAAGTTTAGTTCATTCAAGTGACTTTACCAAGTGATGCTAGGATGGAGGAGAAACAACTGGAAAGATTAAAATTGAATGCCCATGGAAAAGGAAATCTGTTGTTAACTAATTGTGATTGGAGCCCTTCAACCAATACCTAAAGGATTCCCTCAATATCTGGAAATATTGAATTGGGGCGGGGGTGAATATCCTGATTTTTCAAAAGCCACCTTGCTAGGAACGGTTGATATTGTTAAATGCTGCTTGATTAGCACTTGGTTAGGACTTGCATCTAACTACATCATTCAAAGAGAAGGGATTGCATTAAGGGAACTGTAATAGGATGTCTGCCTCAGTGCATGGATGCCCAACTCTCCTAAGAAAAAACTTCGCTTAATGAAGCAGTTCTAACCATGTCTGTATGAAGAGCTCAAGTGGCTGAAACATATGAGTAATCCTGATCAGGGAATGGCCCAAGTTGGAGAAAGGAGAGAATCAATCAAGGGTCTGAAAATGAGAGGTGCAATTTCGACTGCAAAGTCCATGTTCTGCATTCTGAGAGGGAGGCCTTCCACCATTTCTGTGCTTAAGAAACATATCACTGCCTTCTGTGTTATAAAACCACTTTTAAATCAATACAGTAAACCATCCCAATATTATTAAAAGTTGAATTTTGTAGGAGTGACAAAGGGGGAGAGTTTATAACAAAGTAGTAATATGTCATATCATTGTCATTAAGACAATCAAAACCATCCTAGTAGATTGAATAGGACTGAGATGGAGAAGAAAGTCTCTTGATTACTTGCACAATGGTAAAAGTAACAACAAAGCCTATATGTACTCTTGCTGTAACAGAATATAGCCAAGGGGGTGGCTTTATGGTTGGGAGGGGAGGCACGGAAGAGTTTAGGCTGACAAGATGAGACCACTCTCATGTGTTTGGGGAACCCTGGATTTGATAAAATACAAGTAAAGAAAGGGACATGGTCAGGTCCAATAGCCTAGTTTTACAGCAGTGGATATAGTCTCAGTCTGTTTAAAAAAAAAAAACGGGGAGGGGAATGATATCTATCAGTTTGATCTAAACAATAATTATATCAATATCTCACACAAGGCAGGTGAACTGCAGATCTTACTTCTTCTATCTTCTCTGAAGCTTTCCTTAGTCATACAATCCCTTGGTTTTTCACAGTCCTGTGACTACAACTTGGTTTCACTGACATGAACAACCGAACAGTAGAATAACAGAACAACAGAGTTGGAAGGGACCTTGAAGGTCTTCCAGTCCAACCAGAAAAGCAGAAAACCCTATACCATTTTAGACAAATAGTTGTCCAATCTCTTCTTAAAACCCCCAATGTTGGTCAGAGCACCCACAAGTTCTGAAGGCAAGTCATTCCACTGATTATTTCTTTTAACTGTCAGGGAATTCCTCCTTAGCTCTAGGTTGCTTCTTTCTTTGATTAGTTTCTTGTCCTGCCTTCAGGTACTTTGGAGAATAGATTCTCTCTCTCACACACACACACACCCCTTTGTGGCAGCTCCTCAAATATTGGAACACTACTATCATGTCACTCCTAGTCCATGCACTGCTCTTTGAATAAGTTGTTCTTTATGATTATCCCCAAAATGTATAACTAGAGTGTAGCTTCCCTTTCCAAATTTCACCAGTATAACCAGATGTTATGTCTCACCTGTATCCACAGGTGAGAACACACAGTTCCAAAGTTCAGATATTCAAGCAAAACAAACCAGACCCCAAAGAGTTAACTGCTCTGTTTACACAGTCCTTAGCAGTCTTCTTGGAATCTGTCTGGCAAAGCTGAATTGTTCATAAATCACAGTGCTGTAGTCAGACGCACTTCTTCCCAAAGCAAAATCCACTTTGCTTCGAGCGGGGGAAAGGCGTTAGCAACGCTCCTTAAATATCCCTTTAAGGGGTGTGTCAGTCTCATTAATTAATCCTTTGCTGGACATCTCTTTTCTAATTGAGATTGACATCTCAATCTTCTCCTAGTCCGAGCATCCAGCCAGCATCCGACAGTTTCATCATCACTTGAAGCCTCTGGCACACCTTAACCTGAGGTACAATCAGGGAGGGAGTTCCAGAAGAGGAAGACGTCTCTGAAACTTCTGATAAATTAGGCTCATCTCTCAGATTCAACTCCTCCTCTTCCCCCAGACTCCTCTCAATGTTGCTCAGCAATGCAGGCTTGAATCTCAATGCCAGATCTTCCTTCTCACTCGAGCCTACATCTGCTGACCGACCTGGTTCAAACCTCAGAGGCACAACAACCAGATATGCTCCTGCTTAAAAAAATCCAAACACAACTTCCGGTTTGCCAGGCTTTGGCGACGGCAGGGATTCGCGACTCTGCGCGATCCCTGTCGTGCTAGCCGTCTTGGTGCTTCCGATCCCGACAGGTCTGGAGGATAAGGCTGCCCTGTAGAGGCAGCCGAAGATAGGGGGGATCCGGATAGGAGTTGGGGGGTATTGCAGACCCCCTCCCCAGCCGGCAAAACCCCTTTTCTCAAGGCGGTGGAGCGGCGGTCTGTAATGGCCGCCACAAAGAAGCCGGCAGCTGGACAAGACTGTTCAGGAGGAAGAAGGAGAAAGTTGTAAAGTGAAAGTTTTTTGGCTGAACCGGGACTTTAAAGATACATTTAATATCCTGAAAGCTACGATCTTTTGGATGATACATTGTTTCCAATGGAGGTTTCTTAAAGCGGTGAATGGAAGTGCTGAAAGGGAAAGTTACTCTCCCTCCCTTATGGAGTTAACAAATGGACACTGAAAAACCTGCTTTTTTACAGAAGGTAAAAATTTAAAGCTCTTTGTTACAAGTGGGAAGGGAGAGGACTGGAAAAAAAATTTATATTAAGATTTTGTTGGAGGAGATGCCTTGAAGATTAAGAGACTAGAAGTGAACTGCAATAAGGCTTTAAAATACAGATTGGGTTTTTTCCTAACTGATATTACCCCAGGAAGAGAAATTGCAAAGGGAAGAACTTTGTGCTCTGTTTGGACTGTTTGATGACTCTGGGACTTTGGGGAACGGTTTTAAGTTTTGAAATATCTTGGTTGGTTTAATAAGAAGAAGAGGAAAAAGAAAAAGAAGAAGAAAAGATTTATAATGGCTTTATCTCTTGATGAACTAACAATATGGAAAAACAAGGAAAGAAGGCAAGGACGCTGTGGGAGAAGCCTTTCGCTTTTTAGAAATGGCACTTGCTATTTACCAGCAAACTCAACAACAGGTGGAGGAAGCAGAGGAAGAAGAAGCCATTTTTAATGAACCAAAAAGTTTGATCAAGAAAGAAAAGAGAAAGAGAGGAAGGAAAAGGAAGGATTTAAGACCTAAAAAAACACCCAAGAAAGAGAAAAATAAGATGCAAAATCAATACAATGTTAGAAAGCAAAAGGAAAGAGGAATACAACAGAGGGGAAGCTAAAAAGGTGGAGGTTAGGAGAGGAGGGGGTAAAAAAGGCTAGGTGGGTTAAGAAAGAAAGGGAAAAGGAGGGGAAAAGCCACAAAGGTATAAAACAAGATGGGAAAAAGAAAAAAAAAATTTAGGGATAAAGGGTAATGCATAATTAAAAAAAAAAGATTCTGCAAAGTACATAAGATAGTATTGTAGTATTTGTATTAGAAATAGAAAATTAGAATTTTATAAGATTTAATAAAAGATTAAAATATTAAAGTGTTTAATAATGTTAAAATGTTTAATAATGATAGACTTTAAGTTTTAA